GCTGAGCACCGCCCGCTCGCTCCCCCAGCAAATGGAATTCCTGGGCCGGCACATCGCCCGGCAGCTCAACGTTAACTACTTCGACTTCCCGAACACCTCCTACCGGCACGTGGTCCGCCACTGGCCGCTGGGGGTCACCTTAAGCCCAGGCGGCGAGCTGCAAAGCTTTCAACCCCACAGGGGCACTCAGTTAAAACTGGACGTGTGACGCTTCACCTCCTGCACCGCCAACGTGCCCCCTCCCCTCCCACCCTCCACCTCCACTCTCCTCCCCTACCCCACCCTCCTCTCAATAAAGCTGCCACTTGCTTCTAGGGGTCCTTTTCTCTGTGGGGGAGGCTCCCCCTCGGCGTCTTCTCCTAGTGCGCACCTCCCAGGGCCTCCACGCTGCTGTCAGCGAGCAATGCCTCTGGATTGAAAGGTGGGGGTGGCCCAGCCAGTGTCGCTCAGTGGTTGAGTATCGACCTGTGAATCAGGAGCTCAGGGTTCGATTCGAGGTCAGGGCACATGCCCAGTTGCGGGCTTGATCCCCAGTGTGGGGTGTGCAGGAGGCAGCTGATCCATGATTCTCTCTCATCATTGATGTTTCTATCTTTCCCTCCCCTTTTCTCTCTGAAATCAATAATTTTTAAAAAAAAGGTAGGGGCAGCGGTGGGAGCGAAGTGGAAGGGCGGCCAGAATCTAGGAGGTGGGCCCGTCCTCAGGCGGGTGTGGACGTGCTGCCCCTCTTGGGCAGCTGCCTGAACTGGCCTCAGGGGCTGACCCATGAGCAGAATCCAGGAGTCAGATGGATGGGTCCCATCTGGGTCAGGTGCCTGCTCCTGGTCCAATCAGCAACGGGATGGGGCACGGCCGCAGGTCCAAGCCTGTGCCCCGAGGTAGACAGCCCCAACGTTCCTGCCCCAGAGCTGGAGGCCAGGGGTCGCCACCGGCTGGGGTGGGTCCGCGTGTCTGTGTCTGCTGGGACCCCAGGCCATGTTCCCTGGTCCAGTGGGTGTTTCTGCCTCCCGGGTGCTGAGAATGGAAAAGGCTGTGGGCCACGGGGACCCAGGAGGAGTGGTGCCTGGCCCTGTCCACCTGGCTCTCTGGGTAAGCATTCTCCCTCGCGGCCGTGCTGGGGACTCAGCCTTTGTGAACTGTGTCTAGCGAAGTGTCCCTGGAACCAGGGCCAGCTGCACAATGTGCAGGGCCCCATGCAAAGTGCAGGTGCGGAGCCCGCTGTTACACAGGTAAGCATTTCCATGAGACTGGCGGGGCCGGGGTGTGCAGTGGGTGGGGTGTCGTCCCTACCCTGGAAGGTTGCGAGTTTGATTCCTGTAGGGGATGTGCAGGAGGCAGCCTACGGATGTTTTAGTCTCACATCGATGTTTCTCTCTCTCACTCCCTTCCTCTCTCTAAAAAAAATCAATTTAAAAAATGGCAGGGGGGTGGCCCTAACCGGTTTGGCTCAGTGGATAGAGCGTCAGCCTGCGGACTCGAGGGTCCCAGGTTTGAATCCAGTCAAGGGCATGTACCTTAGCTGCGGGCACATCCCCAGTGGGGGACGTGCAGGAGGCAGCTTATCGATGTTCCTTGCTCATCGATGTTTCTAATTCTCTATCCCTCTCCCTTCCTCTCTGTAAAAAAATCAATAAAATATATTTAAAAAATAAAAACTGGGGTGGGGACCTTGAATGTGGGCTGGATTTAGTGACTCACTTCCAAAGAATAGAGCAGCCCGTCTGGCGAAGCTCAGGGGTTGAGCAAGGACCTATGAACCAGGAGGTCATGGTTTGATTCCCAGTCGGGGCACATGCTTAGGCTGTGGGCTCGATCCCCAGTGTGGGGCGTGCAGGAGGCAGCTGATCGGTGTTTCTCTCTCATCCATGTTTCTAACTCTCTATCCTTCTCCCTTCCTCTCTGTAAAATCTATTTAAAAATATAAAAATAAATAAAGTGACTTCCCTGTTGTTCTGTCTCTCAGCATCCTTTAATTAAAAAAAAAAAATCTTTCAGCACACCAGTTGAAAATTGCTAGAATAGAGCAGAGAAAAGGAAAAAAAAAAGTACTTTTATAGCAGAAACACTTGGCAGCCACCATCTGAACCACGTGACTGAGGTAGCATCACCAGTGGCGGCTCCCTCAGGAGGACCGGCCCTCTGCTGGGATGCAATGACCACCTCACCTCTGTCTCCTCTCCCAACCCAGACCCTCGGCTAATCACAAGGACATCAGACACACCCCAACTGAGGGGCATTCTACAAAGCTGACCAGTGCCCCTCAAAATGGCCAAGGTCATGAAAAAGAAGGAAGACTAAGAAATGGAGCACAGGAGACTGAGGAGACACACCCTGAGTGCCATGTGGCACCTTCAGAGCCGCTTACTGATGCCTTCTCGCGCCCTCCTGGCCGCTGTGCCGTCTAGCTCCACATTCACTCCTACGTTGGTCATAAATCCCAAAGCCTCTGCGTGTCGCCGCTGTGTTAGGACTCCTGCACTTTCCTTCCTTTGCAGAGAGTAGATTTTCATCTGGGGTCCTTCTGCCTGTGCACCTTGTGGTGCAGGTCACCTGGTGATGAGTTCTTTCAGCTGCGGTATGTCTGCAAAGTCCATGTGACCCCATCTCTTTTTTAAAATAGTTTATTGACTTGGAGAGAGAGGGGAACATGTGAGAGTGCAACATGGATTGGCTGCCCCCTGTATGCCTCCCATCGAGGATCGAGCCTGCAACCGGGCATGTGCCCTTGACCAGGCATCGAACCAGCAACCGCCTAGTGCATGGAAGGACGCCCAATCAACTGAGCCACACCGGCCCGGGTGCTCCCATCTTTTTTAAAATTTTATTGATGGGTTGATTTCAGAGAGGAGGAAGGGGGAGAGAGACTGATTTTGTTGTCCCCCTTATTTGCATTCATTGGTTGATTCTGGTCTGTGCCCTGACTGGGGATCAAGCCCAGAACCTTGGCTTATCGGGTCAAAGCTCCACCCACCTGCGCTCTCTGGCCAGGCCTGACTCTGTTTGGATTGCTGCCTCATGTCCTCGTGTTGAGACGTTGTCCTGGCCCTGTGAACGCCTGGTGACTTTTCACTGGGCCCCAATGTGGACTTTACACTGTTGGGCTCCACATGGTGGTGTCTTCCTACGAATGGAAGGCACCTGACGTTGGCTCTGCAGCTCAGTTTGCTTGGAAACAGCGTGACCGGCCTTGGTTTAAGCTTTGCTAGGAGGCCTCAGAGTGTGGTTTTTGTTTCGTGTTAGTTTCCCGCTCTGTGAAGAAAACCCTTGTCAATGCTCACCTGTCCGTCTGTTCCGAGCTTCCCAGCTGTGTGAGCTCCAGGGGCTGTTCCTGCTCACCCTTTTTCGGGTGGTTCTTTCCCCAGACTCTCCTCACACACCCCTCCCCTCTGGCCAAGGGCGCGCGCGCACACACACACACACGCACGCACGCACACGCACACACACACGCACACACACACACACACGCACACAGCTCCTTTATTGAAGT